TGCTGGTAAGAATGTAAAATTGTACAAGCACTTTAGAAACAGTTTTTTGGATTCTTAAGAAGGTAAGTATATGTCTCTTATACAATCCAGCACTTAAATTTTGATACACAAGAGAGAGTGTGAGTACAAACTAAATATGCTGAATACAAGGAGCCAGACAAAAATATTGTTTGACCTCATTTTTCTTTATGGACTTGTCTAAAATGCCCCCAAATTTGAAAGGTCTATATTCAATTCTTCATCTAATGTTAAGGATATGGCTTTGGGACATTTTTCTTTCCTTTATAATTGGAAGAGACTTTTGTCATCACACAAGTAGGAGCTTGAATGGAATGGATATTTGGAGGTAATGGAATTTTCCCTGGACACAGAAGGGTTTATATAGATGTGAGGAGGAAGGACATATGTCCTAATGTAACTAACGCAAAGGCCTTTTTCAGATCTACTCAACTTTGTGTTGCTTTTAAGAATCCAGCTAACCCTTCCCAACAGGAGAGGACAGTTTTACAGGTACAGAATTTTGGCTCATCACAATTCAATAAGAATGGTTTAGGACCAAAAGCAAGAAATCTCTCCATGAGATTATTTTCTACTTTGATGTTTCTTGTTCTTCTTGTTGTTCTTCTTCTTGTTCTTCTTGTTCTTGTTCTTCTTCTTGTTCTTGTTGTTGTTGTTGTTGTTGTTGTTGTTGTTGTTCTTCTTCTTCTTCTTCTTCTTCTTCTTCTTCTTCTTCTTCTTCTTCTTCTTCTTCTTCTTCTTCTTCTTCTTCCTCTTCCTCTTCCTCTTCCTCCTCCTCCTCCTTCTGTTAACAGCAGTCTTATTTCAATCTTAATTGCCTTACCTCATGACTTTCTGGGAAGAGGATGAGCAAAATCAAATACACAAACCCAAACAGAATAACACACACACACACACACACACACACACACACACACAAGCACACCCACCCAAGAGGATGCAGAATAGAGACATTGTGCGAAGAGTTTGGGGGGTGCATTTTGCACATGGATATGCAGGTGTGGATTTGTTCCCCACGGATTCCACCTCCGGACAATGGGCCACTTAGTTGTGAGGAGTGCAGTTAGTTAGTGGACATCTGTCAGCCACAGCACCATCAAGATTTGCCTCAAAGCTTGAACCAAAACCACTTCTCACAGGTAGTACACAGCCAGAAATTAAGCTCAGTGGAAGGCCTCTGACCTGGCGACTTCCACCCTCATTGCCCCAAGCTGCTTCTGCGACTGGGTGAGAATGTGTCAGAGCCTTACCATGATTTGAGGCTCTCTTTGCCCCATTCTGCTCCCACTGTTCTCCATTTTCAGGTTTGCTTTTCTTTTTGCATGACAATCTGAGTGGTTTCCCTGTCTAATTCTGGCCTCTCTTATTATCATTCACAGGCATTAGTCCCAATAAATCACTTTTCCTCTTAACTTTTGTCTAAGTATCTGCTTCCCAGAGGAAGTAAATGACACATCTGGAAATTAGGAATATATTATTGTTTAAAGGAAGGAGTAGAAGTTACCTAGTGAGTAGCTGATAAAGAAAAAGAAATGTTGCATAAATGAACAAAACATTTCAAAGTGTGACAATGACTATTAATTCTCTCCTTGAAGGTTGCCAAAGTCTTGCCATTTCCCATAGATACAACACAAGCCCTGTTAAGCTCTCTAAGTAATCTCTTTCTGTTATTCCTTCAAAAAATTTCACATGCATTTTCTCTATATAAATCAGCTGTCCTGCTGACTTCATATGTAGACACAGTTCCAAAATTTTAGAACCATGAATGTCAAAGTTCAGATTGTTTTCTTGTTTCACTTATGAGAAAAAAAATTCAGAGAGCCAAAACCTGTTGAAGTTTCTCATTCTCAACACACACGCACACACACACACACACACACACACACACACACAGTCACAGTGTATTTTCAAGAGTCTATGCCAGTACAATCCAATAAAAGCTTTAGTAGTGATGGATGTGTAGGCTGTGCATTTGTTTTACCCAATCTGGAGGCCCTGGCTACAGGTGCTATGAGTATTTGAAGTATGGCTTGTGTGACTCAATGAACTGTATGTGCCAGAGATCCCTGTAGTCAGGTTCCAGTACCCACCTTCCCAGTGTGCAATGCAGGCCTGTGAAAAAGAATACACTAAGAGACTTAACTAGGAGAGAAAGTGGGCTGCCAAGATGACCAATGCTGGTGCAAATGACAAAGGCCCTGGCCAGTCCCTGGCACTGACTTTTTATTGACAATCAATTGGGATAATGGCAATGTGTGGTTTCTATGGAAATTAATGTGAACAGGCTGATAAAGGACAAGACAAAGTATTCTCAAATTAGGAACAGAATAAACAAAATATATGATTATAATTAGAACATTGTCCTTCTAGCCTGAAGGTTTTAGTTGTGGGATTGGAATTTGGGTTACTCTGACCTCAGCACATAGGCTTCAGCCAGACTCACTTCATACACAAGCCAATTGGGCATAATCAGTATTACAGCCTTCTGCAGGACACAACTACTGGCAGTTTTTAATCTGACAGTGCAGATTGAAGACTTTGCTGATTTTTCTTCCTCTCTTCTACACTTTCTGTTCACCATGTTTCTTTCTAAATTCCACCCATTTAAAAAAGTACTTCTGAAGTGTAAATCATTTTTCCTTAATGAGCCTTCTCTGTACAGTTTTAGATTACTTAGAGAAGTAGTATATTTTGTATTATTATCTTTGCTTGATATTATTGCTCAACACATACTTTATGAGTGTTTGCTATGTTCAAAGCCTTATGAAAGCTGCTTGCTTTTTAAAGCTTTTGTGTGGGTACCTAATTTTTAATAGCTTTTAAATAATGGATTATTACTGAATTCTGTCTTTATTTTTAATATGTCTTATTGATTCTTATCTCTTTTCCAGTGTTGATGTTAAATCCCAAAAGCTGGAAACTGACAATTTCTTGACATGCACAGAATGAACATCTGACAGTCATTTTTTAGTTTATCTGACAGATAAGTTCTGTCCTCTAACACTAGCAATTGGTTATAAAGTAGTAAGAGGCGATTCTTGAAGAACCAACATTCTATATTAATTCTTGATATTTTTACCAGGTATTAAGGCTATAGTGAGTTCATGCAGAATTGGGACAAAGAAAAGAAATATATGAATAGGGCCAGGAATTTAGCTCAGTGGTTCTGCCCCCTGCCTTGCAAATGTAAGGTCCCAGGGTTCGATCCCAGGTACCCGCCCCCCAAAAGAAATATATTAATCAATGTGTGCATAAAATTCCATAGCAAATAGTACAGAGGTCAAATTTGCTAAATTATATTTTAAAGAAACATTTTCTCCATTGAAGCAGAAAGCCATGGTCCTACTGTGATGGAAAATTTTAAAAATTATTTAATTTTTTACTTGAGATTTCTGTTTATTAGGTATTAAGGAAAAATAGTTTTCTGATTGCTTATATAAGGTACCAGTCTTCTTGACATCATCTGCGGAAAGCAATGTGCGGTTTATATTCCATAAGATGTGTGAAGTCTGCCTACATTTCACAGAATTGGAGAGCTCTGTTTAACTTAGTTCTCATGCCTTACATTCATTCATATTTCTTCCTACAAGTCTAAGCTCATTTATTACAGTCTGATGAGTTTTAAGTGTTCAGCTCTATTTTTAAATTTAACACATGATTTGGCAGTTTGCACAGGAATTGACAGATGCTTTAAATATATCAATAGAAATCCATTACTTTTAAAGAAGGACTGGATTAATTTGCCTGTGGTAAAAATGTCCTTTTTGCAGTATCAAAACCCACTGAGAGATTAGGGATAAGTAGTGATATAATTTATCTGTTCACTGATAGGAGCTAAATAGTCAGGATGCTTCAAATAAAAGAGGTAGGCATCTGCTCTCCTTGCTTTCTGGTCTAATCAGAAAAGAGTGAATTTTTAGAAAAGTCGTTGTTTGGTAGAAAACGTTTTCTTTTCTCTGCCATCTCTTTGCCCTTTATGGCCCACTCAAATCCTACTAATCCAGGAAAAATTACATGTCTGTCCATTCAACTCCAACAAACATAGTCTTTAAATTTGTGTATTATATATAATCATTTCCATATGATTCTTCCCCTTCCCTGCCTTCCTTCCTTCCATCTTTCATTAATTCTTTTCTTCCCTCCCTCCTTCTCTCCTGTCCCTCCTCCATTTTTTTCTTTTCCCTTCATTTTTTGTTCCTTTGTTCCTACCTCCTTTCCTACTGTCTGAACTCCCAGTTGGGGTGCCTTATTCCCAAAACACCATGGAAGAACGTGACTATTTTCAGCTTAACTTCGGGGGAAAGTGAAGTGTTTGAATATTTTGAATTTATTTACTGACTATTTTTCTCAGTAATCCCTCAATCTTTTGAGTATCTGTGTTTTACTCTTCCTTTGTATTTGCATGACTTTAAGTAAAAACTTACTTCTACGGTGTTCATGCACCTATATACGTCTGAATCACAGGTAGGCAGCTGAAAGCAATTGCTTCCAGGTGTCTACCAGAGGAAATCGCTGCTTGTCAGTAAGCCAGTGACAGATTGAAGCTAATTTCTCAAAATAAGTAATTAACCCTCAGGAATCTTGGAGATGTATTTTAGGAGAATAAATCTTTCTCTTTATCCTTTTTCTTCATAATGTTTGTCCAGGCACAAACATACACATGAATTCCAAACCACACATGCTCGGGGTCTTTTCCTGTTTGTAAGAATATCCATTACACAGGTCCAACAAATGAATAAATGGAGATTTCCTGGTAGAAAACAGATCATCTGTACTGCAAAATAATAAAGAAAAATAAAAATTAATCATTAACGGTTACATGCAGCTCTTGATGAAGATGAATCAGGAAAACCCTGAATGAAGATGTACAGTACATTATTAGGATTTTTCATGACTGCACATCTAATATCTTCTCTTAAGCAGGCTCAACTTGGAGACAACTGCAGGATTAGCAAGAGAAGGAGGAGCATCCACTCTTCCAGCCAAATCAGTTGAATCCCCACAGAATAGCCTCAGATCGTGGTGACTGTAGCCGCATTTGAGCGTAGTAAGTAAATACTAACATAGTAAGACGATAATGTCAAGCATACTTTTTCAGTTGTAAAAAATCAATGAACATTTTCTTTGGAAGGCCTTTACTAGCATCTGCTACTAACACTGTACCAACAGGTGAAGGACTGGGTGACAAGTACTGCATAATCTCTTCAATAAACCTTCCCCCCAAAGATGAACAAATGAATGAATGAATACAACTTTAAATTGTTTCACTGCATGTTTCCATTATAAGTAACAAAGATTTCTTCCCCCTGATACTGGCGACTGAACCTACTATAGCCTTTCTATTGAGCTGTGTACTTGATACTTTTTACTGTCTTTAATTTTGAAGCAGGATCTCACTAAGTCCCTAACTTGTCCAAGCTGGGCTTGAACTCTCCATCCTCTTGCCCTAGCCTCCCTCAGTAGTGGGATTACAGATGTGAGCAAAGTTTTACCATGTTTAGTTTAATGGGGTGAGACCACCCAATTTCTAGGATTTAAGGGTTGGTCTGTGACGCTAACTCTCAAACATCAATAGACATAAGAATCATTTAAAAGGATCACCAAAACAGACTATTGGGTAACACCATTACAATTTCTGCAGAATGCTCAGTTTGGAGGAAAGTGGGTCAGAAAATTTGGAATAAGACCCAGGAATTTGTTCCGAACAAGGTTTCAGACTATACAGATGCAGCTGGTTCAGGGACCCCACACTGAGAGTAATATGGCCAAACTTTTATCTAAGATTGTTCCTCTGTATGCCAGAAGTTACAGAGTAGCCATTAAATATTCACTGACTACTTACTCATGCCAAAGCAAAAGAGTAGAGCATGTTTTCTGTTCTCAGTGCTCTCATCACTTAATTCAGAATAATTTTCTATAATGAGGGATTTAAAAAGTGTATCAGAGCTAAACTGCATGATGCCTGTCCTTTTATTACCAAGAGCATGCTGGATTTGGATGCCTGGGGTGAGTTGGAGGTGGTCAGGTGCTCACTGGGCCTTGCATAAGGGACAGGATATTGCCTGAGGAATGGGCAACACAACAGATGTTAACACTCAGAAAGCAGGTGCCATGTAACATAGCAAATTCTCTTTGAATAAATGCACCCTCTAGACAATATGGGCAAAATTCTATTTTAACTTCAAAAGAACCTAAAAGAAAAAAATCAGTGGCAAGACAATTCAGTGATGTTGAAAGCAGAGGACTGTATGACTCTTGACCAATAGTGCTTATCTTGCACAGGAGCAAAGTTTCTGCATAAAGACAAAACTTTGAAGACAAAAATATATTCAGAATATTAAATGGTTATCTAATGGTTAACTGAAGCCATTGAACCTTGGAGAACACATCTTTATGAATTGGAGACCAGCTAGGTGTTTTGTTACTTCCCTTCAAGGCCTCTGAATGAATCTCTCTGTGGATAAGGCAGACACCTGCTGGTTCCAGCTTGTTGTTCTGGTCTACAGTTGGGAGGTCGGCAGTACCAACACAGAAGGGGGATTCTATTGTTGAATTCTTCATCTGTTAACATTAAAGCCACACTCCCACAGACAATATTAATAAATGTAGAAAGGATCCAGGTGCTTATTTATTTATTTCCAGAATATCAGAGCTAAAAGAAACCCTTCCTTCACCAGTAAGGAAACGAAGTTGGAAGGAAATGGGTGACTTGGCAAATGCGGCAAAACTCAGAGGTGGTTAAGACAGCTCACTGGATATTCCCACCATTGGTTTGCATTTAAACCCCAGTGCAAACCCTCTCACATCCGTTGTGTGAACCTCTTTCACTTACACTAAAATAATAATTACACAGGATCATAGAATTGAGCAATTAAATGTTTTGTTAACTTAAAATGTGATGTTTCTTTTGCATAATTATGCTTTATTATAACTTTTTTCAAACATATTTTTTGAAGAGTCTTACTGACAAAGGCTACTTTTGAAGCAGGGTATTTATTCAGAGGGGTCCAATCATTAATTCATCCTGAAAGCCCCTGGTTATTAACTGGCATGTTCAAGCACAAAAGAATTAGGGGTCACCAAAGCTCTTTGTATGTTTATAGCTCTAGCTACAGCAGAACTGGTCCTTGTAAATGTCACAGGAGATAATAATTGCAATGGAAAAGAAAGAAAATGTTTGGAGCTTATGAGAAAAGACCAAACCATTCCCAATCACAGGACTGAAGAGGTCAAGAAAACATCCCTAGGGCAAGAGAGATGAAACTTTCCAACAGTCAAGAAATTAATGCTGACACCTCGTCAGTTAAGTAAAGTGCAGAGCAAAAAAAGCCTGCATGGCTGTGTTTTGGCTTATGGATAGAGCCGTGTGTGTACAGTCCAAAGAGAAACAACTGTAAAGATCATCTTGTCACTGTAAATAAAAATCACCCCATTGCCCAAGGGATGGAGAGCTTAGTTACAATCTGGTCAGTCCCAGCTAGGCTATCACTGTGCTGTTATTGATGATAATATGGGGAGAGGGTCATTTTTGCTGCTGAGTGTGAGGACATGGCTATGGCACTAATGTCCAATTACATTAATGAACATGAAATTTGGCTCTGCACAAGCATTTCTCCTCATGTTCTGAATTAGATTTTAGAGGGTAAAATAAAAGGTAATAAAAATCTTTCCTTCAGCACCATTTTTCTTTGGCTGTGGTTATAGCAATATATTTGAAGAAAACATAATCCTCTGTTTTATTAAGCAACCTATGTGCATTAAGCCCAAGTGTTGAACACAAGCCTGATTTTCAGGAAGGGGTAGGTCACTATTATGTCTGCTCTTTGAGATACTTATATTTTCAAACTGAGCAATTCAAAATAGATAATATGTTTACCAGAATTTGGGCTGCTTTTAGAAATCCAGGGTGAATACCCAAGCCAAAGTATAAAGAAAATGAAAAAAACTCTGCAAACATGCATGTTGATTCAATATGACTCCACTTCTAAGAAACTTCAGGATCCTTCCCTCCTGAGGTGACCAAAGCTCATGGTGAGATCATCTCAAAGGCTAATACATTTCTGAGGTCCAATGCTGGTTTGTTGGAGAGGGGACACGTGGGCTGGAAAACAAAATAAAACAAAACCAACCTATAAACAGTGGCTTTCCAAAATGTCTGTGAGTCTGTTTATTTAATAGGTATTTGTTAAGAGGCAGTCAAGACAACTAGTTAATCCCTGGCTTGTGTGGATATGTTATCTTCCAGAGCAAAATGGACTTTGCACTTTGCAGATGTGATTATGTTAAGAATCTTGAGATGAGGAGATCATCCTGGATTATCTGTGTAGATACACTATAATCACAAGGCTACCTCTAGGGGGAAAAAGAAAGGAGAGTCAGAGAACAAGATATGGTAACAGCAGCAAAGGTCAGGTTGATGCAATTGCTGACTTTTCATATGAAGCATGGTCAACAGACAGGGAAGGGGAGAACTCACTAGAAGACGGAGATGGAGATAACAAAGGGCAGACTTTCTCCCAGAGCCTGTAGAAGGAGCACAACCCTTTCTGCACCTGCGAGCAGCTCAGTCGGACCTCTGACCTTCAGAATATATATATATATAGAGAAACCCGAAGTGTTTAAGTAGTTATGTTACTCACACTTTGTTAAACCAGCAAGAGGAAACTAACACAAACAATAAAGGGACATACAACTAGAACTGCAGCGTCATACCATCTCGTGTGCTTTCATCTGAATTAGTTCTAAAACTCTGTTAATATTTCCTTACTAGCAAATATTTATGTTCTTCTCTTCCTCTTCAATGGCTCAGAAACACAGGAAGCAAGAGATGAGAAAGGGACTTGCCTGTCAATGTGTTTGCCTGTTAAAGTCGAGAAGGTTTAAGCCATTCCACTGTTAGATGTACTACAGATGGGTTTTTCTGGAATTATGCTGAATCCTGATAACCTAGCTCTGTCATCTGAGGAAATGTGAAGGAGACATATTTAATGATAGACTAATTTGAAATACATTGGGAGTGCGGTTAGAAACACACAGACTCACACACACACACAGTTCTACATACACACACAGACATATTGAATATTTTAGTATTCGTAAACCCTTTCATTATATTATCTCACCACCTTACCACCCCTGTATTATGTAGATGCCAGTTTCTATGTTCAGTCTAGAAAAAACAGGCTCAGAGTGCTAGGAGGCCGTGACCATAGCCCCTCAGCCATTGTAGGCCAAAGTGGGTTTTGATGCGGTGTCACAGTTCATGCTCTTCTCTTCACTGTAGCATCCTGTGATCTTCTAATTCCCAAGGAGATGTCCTTGAGCGATTCATGAGTAGCACTCAGGAAATACTTCCAAACATGGCTTGAATGATGCCTTTTTATCAGAAATTCCAAGGCCAAGTCTCTCTTCCTTTTCTTCCACTACCAGGGATAGAAACCAGGGCCTGCACATCTCCTGAACTTTTTAATTTTATTTTGACTTTGAGACAGGGTCTCACTAAATTACCAATTGCCCAAGCTGGTCTCAATTTTGTAATCCTCCAGGTTCCTGGAAATACATACTAGCATCACTACAACCAGCTTTCAATGCATGACTTCTAAGAGTGATTTAAATCATTTGTGTTACTTGGAAAGAGACAAAAATCACTCTTGGAAGTGAGCACATCTTAACAAAGCCAGCTTTGCTTTCCTGCGAGTACACCAACCTTCCACAGCAAGCTTCTCTTCCTTCCCTCTTGTGTCTGTCAACTACAGAAGAACTTTACGATCCCAGTGTCAGCAAGAATTTTGAGGAGGAAACACTATGCATCCTGAGGAACTCAGAGATTCTGCTGTACGTTCCTTTCCACGCAGAGACATTTGAAGCTCTCTTTCTCACAGCCATAGTGTCCAGCACAGGCCATGGCAGCCACCTCAGAACAAGGGACCAGAGGTAAGTGACAGAAAGCTCTCTGCACATTTTATGATTCAGTAGTAAAACAAGCTACAAATGCCATGCTCTCTTCATAATAACAGGAACTTGTGTAAAAACAACAGTTCCTTTTGTTTGGTCACTGAAAATTTAGCATCCAAGGCTGTGAGTGAGCACAGTGCCTGATGCCTACTTTTCATCTTTCAAGTAATGATGAGATGAAAGAGTATAATGTTTTGTTTCTCTGGGAGTGAAGGTCTTCATTTATCTAGCAGATACTTTTTGTTGAGGAATAGAGAAAACCAGTTGAGATATTGGCCTAAGTCTCTGCTCTGTGTGCAAGGCAAGCTGTGTGAATTTGCTTAAGTTTTAGCTGAAGTGGCACATCTCAGTTTAACCAGAAAACAGAGACAATCACGTTAACCATCTCAGTATAGACAAGAGACATGGGCTCTTTGCTTTAACATGGAAGTGAAAAAGCTGATCTCAGAGGTCAGAGGAGTCGTAACTAGAGCCTGAGAGGTATTGGGGGTGGGAGGGAAAGGATGGTTTACCATGCATGGTGCATTTAAATAAAAGGACCATTTTCTAACCATCTATTGCATAGTAGGATACCTATGGTGAATGAAAATGAACTAACTTTATCTGTCAAAATAGTCCAGAGCATTTTGAATGTTCCCAACACAAAGAAATGATAAATGTCTTAGCTGATGGATTTGCCAATTCTGATCTTATCATTACCCTTTGTATATATGCATTGAAATGTCACATCACAGCACATAAACATGTACAACTATTGTTTCCATTAAACATTTCAAAAGTTTAAAAAACACACACAGGCACTGCTGTGAGAATTAAATAAACTTCTATATGCAAAGTAATTAGAACAGGACCAGGATCACAGTAAGTGCTTGATCAATATAGGTTATGAACATTATTATTCTATTGAAAAACTACTAAGTGCATGGCTCTCTGAGTATCCAAGTTTACAGAAATAAAGAAGAGAAGAAGTTCACATTTCAATAGATGTTATATACATAATAAGATTCCTCAAATGGCTTCACCTCATCCACTACCCTTTATTTTAAATCCTTTTCTCCTGGACTTCATCTCCTAGGACAATTTGTAAACTTGTGCTCTACTCAAATTAGACAAATCCACATCTTTGACAATGTACTTCACTCTGATTTCTGCACCTCTGTGCATGCAGGTTTTTTTTTTGTTTTTTTTCATAGTAGGGATCGAACTTGGGACTTTGCGCTTGTGAGGCAGGTGGTGGAACTACTGAGCTAAATCCCCAGCTCTGCAATTGTTTTTAATGGAAATATCTCCGTGAACTGCCTCTGTTGAAATTTAACCAGATCTTCTGGCCTTCTTCAAAAACATGCCTCATCTACAAAGCATTCCTTGGTGTCTTTTCTCCACTGTATGCGCGCTCATAGTTAGTCTCCCCTTTCTAAGACTCCCTTCACCTTTTTTTAATCTGCCTGCCTGAGGCATGCACCACTTTATTCTTAGAAGTAAAATTTTGGGTCCTTGGTTTATCCCCTGACTTTGATAATAAGCTACTTAAGGGAGAGTCTATGACTAATTCATCTTCATAGCTTCCATACCATCACATTTATGGCCAGATATATCATAGATGTTCAATGAAGGTTTAATGAATAAGTGTTGAGATGATGGATGGTGAAAATATTTGTTTTGCTAAACTCCCACTCCATATATGAGTACATGTGTGCACTAACATTAAATATTGCCATGAATTTTTGAGTGTAGTTTAAGCAAATCACATAAAAGCACACATACACACACACACACACACACACACACATCTCACATCTCAACTGTTGGAAAGTATCTGGACAGTGGTTACACACTAGCTGAATAAATACATTTTCCATCTTGGAAGTAATGTTACTGCTTTGTTAGTGTCTTCAGCTCTTACCAACCTGTCTAAGGCCAATAGTCATTCAGATTGTCAAGGAGAAGGACACTTATGCAGATTCAGGGATCTCTCTGGGACGAAACCTCAGGCTACATGGATCTGTGCCTCTTTCTTGAGGGAGCAGAACTAGGAAAACTATTTCAGCTCTGAATACCTGAAGAAGATAAATCCACCCATGATGTAATTCAACAAGTAAATTAAGAGAGAAGCCAGGATGGAGAGAGGCCAGTGAAGTTGGTAATTTGTACTGATCCTGAGCCTGTGTCAGTTGCCTGAGTTATTTTGTTTTGTTTATTCTCCTACAATCATCAAGGTACCAGCTTCTTCTCTTTAGTGGAAATGATTTTAGATGAAATCTGTCCCTAAACCCTGTTTCTGACACACTTACCATCAAGTAACCAGCAAATGCTGTGGCCTTTTGCAGCAACTTAAAATATTGCTCATGTCACTGTAAAGTCTCCACTTAGCCAGGATGGCAATTCTTTTCAATACTTTTGTCTGAAAAGAAAAATGATTTTGATTTTTCCGATCACATATAGGTTCAACCATCTATCAATTTATTTCTGAGTTCGATATTTGTATTCCTGATTTAAGTGCAAACATAAAATCCAATAGAAAAAAAGAGATATCCAAGCAAAAGAGCAAGTCGCAGACAGTGGCAGAAAGAAAAATTTCACTTTCTGAACAGCTTGTTTTAGAATTTAGGCAAATATTATAATAATATTATGAAATGTGTTATAATTATGAAATGCTAATAATTATAATTGATTGCTTTGTTAAAAATTTCACACTTTTATTTATTTTTTGTTTTTGATGGGCTACTAAAATTTTTGTTTCTCTGTTTTTAATAGTAGCAAAGTTTATTAATAAGATGTAAAGGAAATCTGAAGGAAGACAGTTCAAGACTGGAATGACGGGTACATGAAGCCACAGAAATATGATCCTTCCCACTACTCTGATTCCCAGTGACAACAAAGAAGGAAATAATCCCTCTGTGTCCCTTATTGTTCTGTCAGTTTGCCCTGGTGTTTGCCCGTATTTTGTAGATTATCGGTACTTGGATGAATTGATTCTCTTATCATTATAAAACAGTCCTCTGTGTTGTTGATAGTGCTCTTTATGATCAAGACTATGTTGATGCAAATATAGACAAACCAACATTCTAGTGATGATTGTTTTTTTTATTTTTTCTCTTTTTATCAGCCTTCTAATTAGAACCTCTCTTGCCTTGGTATTTTTAGTGCACAATTTCTTGACAGAATATATGAGGTCATTCTTTGTTTATGCTGTCAAAAGTCTGTCTTTTAAACAAAACATTATGTTCTAAGACTTCTCAACATCTTTCATTAAATCTTGATTAGATAAAAATGAATACTTATAAGGATACTTGTAAAAACATGTCTGCAGTATAAAGCAGGGGATTGTAAGGAATACTCAGTTTGGCCACCACTAACTTTGAGAGATGCAACATCACAATTATGTTTTGAAGCTCTGTGGATGTGTTCCTCCTCCCACTTCCATTATACCCGCCCAGAAAGCTCACGAATTTGAATTATGTAGTTATTTCCCCCTTGCTTCTCTATTTTTTTGTTACAACAATCATGGTTTTCTTAAACGTATTATTTAATTACCTATATCTGCAGGTTTTACATCTGGAATAATTTTATGATTCTGTAATTTGCTGTTTTTTATTCAGAAGTATGAAGTTATATCAGTGTTGTTGCATGAAACTGTATATGTTCTTTTAAAATTTTTGTTATTGTATAGCATCCAATTTAATGTAAATTTGTATTTATATACTGCTAATGGGCACTTCTATTACATTATGTTTTGCTTTTATATTACAACAAAGTCTTTTGTTCCCCACTTAGAACATTTTCACCGAGACATAGCTGACATAAAATTAATTGCACATATTTACAGTGTACAACTTGATAAGCATTTTGTATGCATGCAGTCAGGAACTCATCATTTTACTCAATACTAGAGAAGTATCCATCACTCCCCAAAGTTTTCCTATGTTCTTTGTAGTGTTTTCTTCTAACCCCTTCCTTTATCTCCCCCATAGTCAGGTAACCATAAATTTCAATCATTGTAGATGAGTTGGCATTTTCTACAGTATTTTATCAATGCAGTATGTAGTTTGTATCTTTTTGCTTATCTTTCTGCAATAAGGGTTCCATTGCATAAAATTTTTATCTATTTACTTGCTGATGGGCATCTGAGTCATTTTCAGACTTTGGTTACTATGAATAAAACTACTATAAATATTTTGGGGCAGGTCTTTGTGAGGAGGTATGCTCACTCTTCTCATGGTAAATACCTGGGTGTGTAAAGATGAGGTAAAATAATAGGTGTATATTTAACTTTTTATAAAGTTCTCTAATTGGTTGTATCATTTTATCTACTCATCAGAAATATAACTAAATTATGGTTGTCCCACATTCTTATCAATACTTGCTACATGAAATAATACTAATAATTTACATGAAACACCAAATAGGGAAAGGTGATATCTCATTGTGGTTTCCATTTCCATTTTCTTTGTAGCTAATGATGTAAGGGATCATTTTTGTCTCTTTTTTCCATTCTTATATTTTATTTGGTAAAATATCCATTTTAATCATTTGCCCATGTTTTATATTTGTTGTTTCCTCTTGATTTTTGAGTATTCTTTACAAATTCTGATTCAGACCAATTCTTCATTACAAAAATGATGCAGACCCATTCATTATTAGATAAAGGATGATATTCTCCCAATTTCTGGAATTACTTTATGACAGATTGTCTTGCATTTTCTTAATAGTGTCTTACAAAGGGAAAACATTCTGAATTTTCATAAGGTCAAATTAATACATTTCTTTTATGAATAGTTGATTTTGTATGCAAATCAACCTGACTAAACTAAGTCACAAAGATTTCCCCATACATTTAGTAGAAATTTAAGTTTAATATTTTTAGATTTCACACTGAGGCTCATAATTCAGTTTTAGTTAATTTTCATGTATGGAAACAGAAGACGATGTTTTTATGTATATGTTATTAGGGACTTAATTTAGAATCTTGATGCTGAGTTATATCCCCAGCCCTTTTTAAAAAATTTTATCTTGATTAAAGGTGTAATAGATAATGTGAAATGGGAAGAAAAGGTGCAAAGGGGAAGGGGAAATGGGAGGGGTAGGGGAAGAGATAGAAGAGAATGGAATTAATACGAGAAAATGAAAAAGTAGAAACAAAGTCTTTATAGATAGGAAGGAGTTGAAGGGAGGGCAGGGGAATGGGGAAAAAATAAGAACCAAGATGGATTATGTAAAGCTACAAATTTCCAATGATGAATGTCATTATATTGTGTACCTTAAATGTACCAATAAAATTAATTTAAAAAATTTTTAAAAATTAAAAAAAATTTATCTTGAGAAAGGGCTTCTCTAAGTCACAAAGTTGCCCAGTCTGCCTCTAACTTGGGGGTCCTCTTGCTGTGTTCTGCTGGACTTCTCTGATTTCAGCCACATGCCTCACTGTATAGCACACAGATATCCAATTGTTCCGGTGCAACTTATTTGAAAGATTCATTGAATCGCTTTTGACATTTTGTAAAAAATTAGTTAAGCATATATGTGAAGTTCCATTCAATTGTGTTCATTGGTTAGTATGGTTTGGCTGTATATTTTTATATTTCTAATCTATTATTATTGTTGTATTGTTTTTTTCCTTTAGTCTCACATAGTTTTAGAATTTCTTTTTTGTTGATCTATTAGCTTTTTTAGCTATATCTTTTTGTATTTTGAAATGGCTGATAGTGATTTTTTTTAATTTGTCACAGTCAATTTAGAGCTAGTATTTTACTACTGTAATATGGGGACCTTATAAGTGTTGTTTCATTTACTATCTCCCCCCACTGTGTGCTTTTATTTTCAAATACTTAACTTTTGTATACTATTTAAGCCCTGGAATAAAACTCTGCTACTTTTACTGTAAGTATTCAGTTTCTTAAAAGGAAACAGAAGAAAAAAAGAAAACATTTTACATTTAGCCACATATTTCTTATTTCTACTTACTTCCTACAAATCTAAGTTTTCGTCTGATGTCACTTTCCTTCAAGATGAATAACTTTTAAGCATTTATCACCATTCAGGTGTGCTTACAACAAATCTCTCAGCTTTAATGGATCTGTAAATGTCTTTATTTCACCTTTATTTTTAATAGGTTTTTCAATGGATATAGGACTCTGAGTTGATTTCTTTGTTTTGTTTCTACAGCACCTTGAAAATGGCATTTCATTGTGTTCTGGGTTTCATTGGTTCTAATAATAACCTTGCCATCGTTAGGTGTTGATTTTCCCCCATATATAATATCTTTTTTTTCCTTTGGATGCTTTTATGATTATTTTCAGTTTCCAGCAGTTTGATTCTGATATGCCTAAGCAAAGCTTTTTAAAATATTCATCCTGTTCAGGATTTATACAGATTCTCAGACCTATAATTGGATATTTTTCACCAATCTTGCCATTATTTCTTCACATATTTTCCCCATTATTGTTACTTTACTCAGTGACTTTAGTTGTATGTAAGTTAAATCTCTTGATATTCATCTCTAAGATTTGGTTCATTTATTTTTTGTGATTTTTTTAGGCATAATAATTTCTATTGATAGGCCTTCAGCTTTACTTATTCTTTCTTCTCCACTATTAAACCCATTTAATTCTTTATCAATTCACAGTTTGTATTTATCAGTTATAGAATTTCTTTTTGTTTTCTCCATTTTTATCTATTTATGTAAGATGACAGTTCTTAAAATAATTTCTTGAATAGGCATGTCATATCTAATTATGTAGCCTTTGGCTACTAATGTCAGCATGTAGTTTGTCTTAGGATCTTTCTCTCTCTCTTTTATTCCTGCTGTTTTTTCTCTCCTTTCTTTTGATCTCCCTTTCTTTCTCCTCTCTCTCTCTCTCTCTCTCTCTCTCTCTCTTTGGTACATGCTTGGTTGCCTGCTTCATATCTGTTGATGATTAAACCAGTACCTCACACATGGTAGGAAAGTACTCTACTACTGAACTACATGTTTAGTCTTAATTTTCCTTACTGGTATTAAGTTTCATTTTCCTGCTTCTTTGAATATCTAGTAATGCTATGATTACATATTATTAGGAATTGTAAGTTTTAGGAATTTGAATTATGCTTCTCAATGATACTTAATTCATATTTACTAGAAAAGTTTAGAAAAAATATGTTCTGTAACTTTTCTTTGGATTGAATTTAAAATACTGTCATTTAAGGGTGACTGCTGTCATAAAAATTTTACAAATAACTCAGTGATAACTACTCCTGCCTATATGGTTATATGTTCTAAAAGGGGGAAAGGATGAAAAAACTCAGGTGGTATGAAAGCTACACGGATGCCTTTTAGTGATGAGACAAAGTTGGCAGTGCAGAAACACTACACTAGGTATTAGCTGAGCATGGTGGCACACACCTGTAATCCCAGACATGAAAGCTACACGGATGCCTTTTAGTGATGAGACATGGCAGTGCAGAAACACTACACTAGGTATTAGCTGAGCATGGTGGCACACACCTGTAATCCCAGCACTCAAAAGACTGAGGCAGGAGGACTGCCATGAGTTCAAGGCCAGTCTGGGCCATATAGTGAACTCAAGGCCAGCTTGAACAAACAAACCAAAACAGAAAACAACAACAATACAAAAGGAATATAGTAGAAGTTATGAATCTTGATCTGCAGCTTCTTTTGATCTAATAACTTTGGGTAAAGCAATCATCCTTTCTAAGTCTCGTCCCACAACTGTCAGATAGATATAATTATACTTCCATATAATTTATTTAGGGTTATGAAATATTCAAATAAGGCAGGAAATATAGGACATACAAATGTAAATTCTGAATTTGTACAAAAGTAAATTTTTATCATTATTCTTCTGCAGAAGTCACCATGCTTGTCATTTTTCCAGTAGCCTCA